CCTAATTTTGTGTGTGGATAAAATACACGAAATGTCTGATAAAATAAACGGTTTGAATTATCAAAACAGTGCCCGTAATGGACCCCATGGACCCAAATAGCATCCCTCTAGTTTAGATTTTGGACTGGAGGGGATCCTCCTCTATGTATATATATATATATATATAGCAAAACTGAATTAAACAAATTGAGAATTGCAATGGGTGCAAGAACATTAATTCAAATCTTAAAAAAATGCTAAATTTACAACAAAAAAAATAAAATTATAACTATAAATAACACAAAAGAAAGTGAGTTACCTGTAGCGTTTCTTAACATAACAAAATCATTCAATTAAATAGAATCACCAACTCATGTCTTAACTATAAAGCTTGATGGAGACATTTGTTGGGATTTATGGCACATTCCACCAACGCAAAACATTTACGCACATACCAAAGAGAAAAAATAATTACACACAGATTTACGTGGTTCTGTTTAAATTGCTTACATTCATAGGAGAAAGAGTTTCCACTATGAATAAAATAAAAAATATATGTGAGATATCCAAAACACACAAAACTCACACCACTATCCAAACCCTATGCAAAAAGGTAGTTGAGCCCTTACTCACCCAATGCCTACGCTATTTTTTCTCTCATCCTTCCATCTCTATTTTTTCCTTCACCTTAACCTCTCAATCTTTTTCATAGAAACCTTATAATTCACATGACTATTTATAAAAATCTACCCATGAGATCTTAATTCTATACAATTAGAAAACTAAATCATACACATATTAGATTTCACAGTAAATTCTAAATTTTACTATCTAAACCTAAATACATGTATAAACTAACAAAATAATAACTGTATGAGACCACCATTATCATTGGACTAATCCTAACGACACTTGTGATAAATGATGATATGCTGTAATAACCTCCCATTTTGCTTTACACTTTTTAATTTCGTTAGGTTGTATGATAGATTTGAGTAGAAATTTAAGAACATAAAGAAACAAATGTGAGTGATATGTGTGGGCTATACTTGCTATGCTGAGGTGCAGGTTGTCTGGGCTATACTTGAACAATTTTCAGATAAAGATTGGGGATAGAAACAGAGTCAAATTTTGGCTGGATAAGTGGTGTCATAATGTTTGTCTGAAAGATGAGTTCCCAACTTTATTCAAATTGTTGATGGTTAAGGATGAATCACTGTGTGCAATTTATGTCAAAAGAGGATCATCAGGAGGGTGGAATTTCCAATTCAAAATGGAGCTCTATGATTGGGAAGATTTAGAGGTTAGAAGACTAACTACATGCTTAGAGGCTGCACCTGTTATTAGATCTGATCAGATTGACAAACCTTATTGGTTGGACATGGGGCTGTTGTGCCTTGGTTGGACTCGGGCTGTTGCTGTGCCTTCAATCCACAACAACCTACTATGCCCTTTATGAGAGGTCATCTTGAGTGCCTTTCAATAATCTAAACCGTTAATATTATAGAGTTTGTCAAGAATATTATTCATACAAAAAATTAAATTAATTGGATATTTGTAACTTCATGATTAGGTCCTAATTATTTTTAAAAGTTTATGAAAGCTACGTTAACCGTTAATTTTTATAAAAACAAATGTGCTTTTGTTATAGAGCTGCAGATATCAAATCAATTTGATTTTTCGCACGACGAATCCTACAATATGAACGGTTCGGATTATCAAAAGAGGCTTGGGATAACTCTCCACAAAGAAGCACAATAGCCTACTGTGCCTTTCAGCCCAATAAAATCCCCAAATCCTAGCTTGGGTAGTTACAACTTCAGGTCAGTTCACTGTATCATTTGCCTATAACACATGAGGTAGCAATGTTTGGGTCTTTTCTTAGAACTAGTAAATTAGTATGGGTTAAGTACATCCCTCCTAACCACCAAGGGCCATCCTATTTGGTAAGAGAGTTTATTTCTCTCCTTACTTGTCAGGATTCGAATCCCTTACTATTCAAGTGGAAATCCGGCGATTTAAGTGGATCGGTTAGCTTTTCTCCAGTTTGACTTGTAAGGGTAGATCCTAAAGATTCTGCCTTGGAGGTGTTCTGGATATAAAATAAAATAAAATAATAATAAAAAAAAAATACACATCCCTCCTAAGGTTCAATTTTTTGGATGGCTTGCATGGAAGAATAGAGTAAAATGGCATATTTCCTTCAAAGAATAGGAGTCCTATGATGTAGGATTTTAAGAATTTTTATATTTTTAGTTTTAATATTTTTGATATATTAGTTGATTAGAATACTTGTAATTTAGTATAAATATTTAGAATATTTTATTTTCCTAATTTCTTAGGTTTCTTGTTTTTCAAGAATTAGATTAGTTTATTATTTCTTAATTTGAGTTTTCTTGGTGTCCAAGAATATGTGATTTCCAATGTTTACATTATTATAAATATCTATGTAAGCCTTATAGTAAAGATAAATTTTATTTAACTTTTATGCAATATAATTCAATTTCTTGAGAATTCTTTCTCTTCCTTGTGATTCAAGATTCTATTTTTCTCGTAGATTCGAAAGTCTTTTTCATCTACTAGAATGATATATAGTCCTCGTGTGTTCCGCTGCATCAAGTGGTATTAGAGTATGGATTCACCTAGCTCAATGACACAAGACAATGGAGAACACACAATCCCTATTGACATTGATCATAGGATGGAAGCTATATGGGATTCGATTGAGAAACATCGGCTAGAGGTGCACAAATTTCGCTATGAGATTTGTAATCTATTTTCCGATTTGGGACTAATCGTATACCAGAGGCAACCATAGTTGACAGTAATTACGTTGGAAGATTCACCCGAGGCCAATCTGTTAGCTTATGTTATTTTTGCAGAAATTTCATATTTTAACGGTTCAAGTAAGTTTAAAAAAAAAAAAGATTTTCCTGATTGGTTTCTTGATCTTGAAAATTTCTTTGAATTCATGAAGTTCATCATGAAAAGAAGGTTATATTTACATGCTACAAACTTGATAAAATTGCATTGAAGTGGTGGATTGGATTACAAAATTATTGAGTTTGCAAAGGTAAAGATAAAATTCATTCATAGTTAATAATGAAAAAAAATTTATGAAGAAAATTTTACTTTCATGATCATGAAGATATATTATCATATACAAATTAAGATACTTCCACGGAGTTTGTAAAAATTTACAATGAAATTGTAGCTCCAAAATAAAAGATTTCACATACAAATATTATTTGTGGTGAGATTGTTTGCAAAACTAATGAAGAAGATACAAAGTCTTGTTCGAGTGTTGATAATGCATCAACACTTGCTAATTTGAATATTGGGGAGAAATTTTTACAAATAGATCATAAAAATATTGAAGAAGAAGGATATCGGATTGAGTTCAGTAACAAAGAGAAAATAAAAAGAAGAGATAATACAGCTACTCCATGCAACAAAGAAATTGGTAGATGCTATGCTTGATGTTCCAAGATTGATAATTTAAGGGTCAATTGAATAAGAGATGGTGCAAAATCAAGAGAGCATGTAAGTTCTACATAAAATAAGTTTTTCTTGCTATGGAGCAATTTAATTTGATTTTCAATACTTGTCTAATTGATCTTGTCAACTAGTTGAAGTATACAGAGAAGAACTTTCAAAAAATAAACTTTTCTACATACAAATTTTGGAAGAGGGACAATCAACTGAAATATTCAAAATATCTCTTAGAATTTTTATATTTTTATTTTTAATATTTTTGATATATTAGTTGATTAGAATACTTGTAATTTAGTATAAATATTTAGAATATTTTATTTTCCTAATTTCTTAGGTTTCTTGTTTTTCAAGAATTAGATTAGTTTATTATTTCTTAATTTGAGTTTTCTTGGTGTCCAAGAATATGTGATTTCCAATGTTTACATTATTATAAATATCTATGTAAGCCTTATAGTAAAGATAAATTTTATTTAACTTTTATGCAATATAATTCAATTTCTTGAGAATTCTTTCTCTTCCTTGTGATTCAAGATTCTATTTTTCTCGTAGATTCGAAAGTCTTTTTCATCTACTAGAATGATATATAGTCCTCGTGTGTTCCGCTGCATCAAGTGGTATTAGAGTATGGATTCACCCAGCTCAATGACACAAGACAATGGAGAACACACAATCCCTATTGACATTGATCATAGGATGGAAGCTATATGGGATTCGATTGAGAAACATCGGCTAGAGGTGCACAAATTTCGCTATGAGATTTGTAATCTATTTTCCGATTTGGGACTAATCGTATACCAGAGGCAACCATAGTTGACAGTAATTACGTTGGAAGATTCACCCGAGGCCAATCTGTTAGCTTATGTTATTTTTGCAGAAATTTCATATTTTAACGGTTCAAGTAAGTTTAAAAAAAAAAAAGATTTTCCTGATTGGTTTCTTGATCTTGAAAATTTCTTTGAATTCATGAAGTTCATCATGAAAAGAAGGTTATATTTACATGCTACAAACTTGATAAAATTGCATTGAAGTGGTGGATTGGATTACAAAATTATTGAGTTTGCAAAGGTAAAGATAAAATTCATTCATAGTTAATAATGAAAAAAAATTTATGAAGAATTACAATTTATTTGCTGAGATAAGTGCAATCCGGATTTAATTAAAGAAAAGAGAACAACAACCCTGGTAAGGTTAGTGAATTACCAAAAACAGCTCTCAAAAGGATACAACAAAAAGGTTCACCTCAGGAATTCTAACAAGGAGATTTGGTCCTGCAAAAAGTTCTAGATAGTCAAAAGAATCCAACTGATGGAAAGTTGGGTCCTAACTTAGAGGGCCTATATAAGGTCGTTTCAGTAGGTGGAAATGTGGCTTATTATTTGGAGTATATGAATGGCAAGGCTATACCTCATCCTTGGAACACTGCAAACCTTATGATTTATTTTCATTAAGTATTTGTTTCAGAAACAACTTGTAAATACGTAATTTTTATGAGATTTTTTCTGTTTTCAAATGGTTCTTTGCTTAAGTAATAATAATAATAATAATAATAGAGCAGAGCACTATGGAAGAGACATTTGTGCCTTTTCGCGGGATCAAGAATGATCTTAAGGGCAGGTTGTTGTGTTACAAACAAGATTGGACTGGTGGCTTCAGAGCTGGCTTCAGGTATGTACTACAATCAAAGAAGAATGATCTTTATAAGCTTCTTTTTCTTTTTCTTTTTCTTTTTTCTGTAACCCATTTTCTTCTTTTTTGGTGAATTTTAATATAACTTGTTATGTTTTCAGGATTTTGCCTCCTACCACATATATTCTTTGCATCTGCAATCCCAGTCATTTCATTTGGGGAACAACTAGATAGAAACACTGGTATGGGAATTAACTATAAATAATTCTCAACCTAAATGAAATTTCTTTTATATTTTGGAATGGATGTTAAATGGCTTCAGGTATGTACTACAATCATGATATGTATCAAGCCTTTATTTGCTACATGATTTTACATTAAATGCTCCACCTTTACTGATTTTGGGAGTTGCGGAGCCCACTGTACTAATGTATACATTGATGTTTAACTTTGCCAAAGAGAGACCAGATTTGGGTCACAAACTGTTTCTTCCATGGACTGGATGGTGAGCTATTAATCTTCTTGTCTTCCTAAATGATATAATACTATTGGTATGGTTTTCGTCTGTTGGCAGTTTTATTGCTTGAATTTTTTGTGCTAAGCTTATGATATATTGTCATTTGCTGTTTAATAATACTTGATTATTCGATTTTTCAGGGTGTGCGTGTGGACTGCAATCTTGCTATTCTTACTGGCTATCTTGGGAGCTTGCTCCATTATCAACAGATTTACTCGAAACGGAATAATGATATAAGAATCTCAAAACGTAAGAATCTCTCAAAACATAGGAATAATGATATAATTTTGTTTTGAACATTGGATAAGGATACAATTGAGAATGCAAAAAATGCTATATATGTTTATACAAAATACAATTCAGTTTGGTCTCAAGATTTTTATACCCTCCAGTGGATCTGTTGTCTAACTGGGTCTAACCTAACAATTTGGTCAGATATGAATTTGGACTAAGATGTATGTATGGTTATACAAAATAGCAACTACCTATTTTTTGCCACCTCTAATCTAGAGTTTTGTCTTGGTAACTGCTCTTTCAGGTGCAAAGATGTTGCCGCAGTAGATATCAATATGGGTTGCCCAAAATCATTCTCTATTAGTGGCGGAATGGGCGCTGCATTATTGACTAAGCTGGCGCTTATTCATGATGTATGTGGTACATGGCATTCATGGAGTTCTATTTTTCTTTTGCCTTCTCTGTTCATTGTTTGAACTAAAAGCTTTAACCCTCATGTTGTTTCTCTGTTTTTCATTATGACATTACTGTGCTTATGGTTCTTGTTATTAGATCTCTCCAAGGAAATAGGCTGACAGGGAAAATTCCAGAGGTGATAGGTCTAATGCAAGCCCTTGCTGTTTTGTAAGTGTGCTTACTATATATTTGAATTTAACGACCCATGGAACAACTATGTTTGGGATAAAAAAAAGATGTTTCAATTACTCAATCGCTGTGGTAATTAATTCTTGAAGCGTTAGAAAGAATGTTGCATGCATGCTAGTAATTTCATTTGAATGTGGCTGTACATGCTAGGCAAATCATGATACTCTGGGACTCGTTTCACGATCTTTTTTTATTAGGTGGTTGTTTCTTGAAATAATTTTGTACTATGCAGAAAACTATGGAAAACAAATTCATTTTGACATCAATCCTACAAACACCGTGTGTGCTAGATTTTTTTGTTTTTGTTTTTGTGTTTTTATAGTCATCTCTTTTGCTTCGCTGCAACATGTTTAAAGCAGAGTTTCATTGCTTTGACAAGCGTATTATGAGTTTCCATTTTGAACTTGGTTGCCATGGGTAATTGTATGGGGTGCGTCACATGCTTGCAGCCATGTATGGAGAGAGGGAGGGGCGGGTGGTGTACCTAATTGAGATGCCTATGTTTAAAGGGTATAGGTTTTCCATATGTTATTGCTTAGAAGAACATAGTCTGTCCTCCAAACCCCTACAGAAATATTGTGCAAGATTAACAAATTGATCATGAAATTCAGTGTTTAGTCAAAGAGATGAGTTCATCTACATCAACAATCCTAAAAGGATACTTCTATCTCTAGTATCTGATGTTTAGATATGTTGTTTTCTTTTCCGTGCAGTACAAGTTTTTTGTTGATGGAGAATAGCGGCATGATGAGCACCAACCATTTGTAAGTGGAAATTATAGGGTGGTGAACAGTGTCTTAGCTAGGGAGCCTGATGGGTAGATCTAGTATGGATGTGGATAATGATCCATTTTTTCATTTTTTGGAAGCAAATTATCTTACAAAAGCTTTTGTAATACAAGTTGGTCTAGTTGATAAGAACAAGGCTGTGTGACTTTTGGCTGGTGTTGATTTTTGCTGCCACAAGACTGCTGGAAAAAAGTTGATCTCTTTAATTGCTCTGGCTTTAAACTTGGATGAAGACTTCTTCGAGAAAGTTGGGGCTTTCAATCCACCAATGCCATTTCTTCGTCTTCTACACTATCCCGATTGAATCAAAATTTGGCTTTATCTACTTTGTCTGTTAAGTCTTTCTTTTCATTATCTAGGTTCATACATGGACAGATTCAGGAATCAATTTAAAAAAAAAAAAAAAAAAAAAAGAGGATTTCACGGCGTTTTTAAAACGCCACCAAAACTCCAAAAAGTTAATGGTCAATTTTTTTAAAAAGATATGACGGCGTTTTGAAAACGTCGCTAAAATCATAGTGACGTCATGGTAGGGACATTTCGCGGCGTTTTTAAAAACGCCGCATATTCTAATATCGCGACGTTTTTAAAACGTCGTAAAGATACAGCGACGGCCGCAGCTTCGACGTTTAGTACTAAACGTCGCAAAAGGAATTAGCGGCGTTTTTAAAAGATATAGCGGCGTTTTTTAAACGCCACTAAAAGTCCGTTTTCCAGCAGTGTTGGTTGGACATGGGGCTGTTGTGCCTTGGTTGGACTCGGGCTGTTGTTGTGCCTTCAATCCACAACAACCTACTATGCCCTTTATGAGAGGTCATCTTGAGTGCCTTTCAATAATCTAAACCGTTAATATTATAGAGTTTGTCAAGAATATTATTCATACAAAAAATTAAATTAATTGGATATTTGTAACTTCATGATTAGGTCCTAATTATTTTTAAAAGTTTATGAAAGCTACGTTAACCGTTAATTTTTATAAAAACAAATGTGCTTTTGTTATAGAGCTGCAGATATCAAATCAATTTGATTTTTCGCACGACGAATCCTACAATATGAACGGTTCGGATTATCAAAAGAGGCTTGGGATAACTCTCCACAAAGAAGCACAATAGCCTACTGTGCCTTTCAGCCCAATAAAATCCCCAAATCCTAGCTTGGGTAGTTACAACTTCAGGTCAGTTCACTGTATCATTTGCCTATAACACATGAGGTAGCAATGTTTGGGTCTTTTCTTAGAACTAGTAAATTAGTATGGGTTAAGTACATCCCTCCTAACCACCAAGGGCCATCCTATTTGGTAAGAGAGTTTATTTCTCTCCTTACTTGTCAGGATTCGAATCCCTTACTATTCAAGTGGAAATCCGGCGATTTAAGTGGATCGGTTAGCTTTTCTCCAGTTTGACTTGTAAGGGTAGATCCTAAAGATTCTGCCTTGGAGGTGTTCTGGATATAAAATAAAATAAAATAATAATAAAAAAAAAATACACATCCCTCCTAAGGTTCAATTTTTTGGATGGCTTGCATGGAAGAATAGAGTAAAATGGCATATTTCCTTCAAAGAATAGGAGTCCTATGATGTAGGATTTTAAGAATTTTTATATTTTTAGTTTTAATATTTTTGATATATTAGTTGATTAGAATACTTGTAATTTAGTATAAATATTTAGAATATTTTATTTTCCTAATTTCTTAGGTTTCTTGTTTTTCAAGAATTAGATTAGTTTATTATTTCTTAATTTGAGTTTTCTTGGTGTCCAAGAATATGTGATTTCCAATGTTTACATTATTATAAATATCTATGTAAGCCTTATAGTAAAGATAAATTTTATTTAACTTTTATGCAATATAATTCAATTTCTTGAGAATTCTTTCTCTTCCTTGTGATTCAAGATTCTATTTTTCTCGTAGATTCGAAAGTCTTTTTCATCTACTAGAATGATATATAGTCCTCGTGTGTTCCGCTGCATCAAGTGGTATTAGAGTATGGATTCACCTAGCTCAATGACACAAGACAATGGAGAACACACAATCCCTATTGACATTGATCATAGGATGGAAGCTATATGGGATTCGATTGAGAAACATCGGCTAGAGGTGCACAAATTTCGCTATGAGATTTGTAATCTATTTTCCGATTTGGGACTAATCGTATACCAGAGGCAACCATAGTTGACAGTAATTACGTTGGAAGATTCACCCGAGGCCAATCTGTTAGCTTATGTTATTTTTGCAGAAATTTCATATTTTAACGGTTCAAGTAAGTTTAAAAAAAAAAAAAGATTTTCCTGATTGGTTTCTTGATCTTGAAAATTTCTTTGAATTCATGAAGTTCATCATGAAAAGAAGGTTATATTTACATGCTACAAACTTGATAAAATTGCATTGAAGTGGTGGATTGGATTACAAAATTATTGAGTTTGCAAAGGTAAAGATAAAATTCATTCATAGTTAATAATGAAAAAAAATTTATGAAGAAAATTTTACTTTCATGATCATGAAGATATATTATCATATACAAATTAAGATACTTCCACGGAGTTTGTAAAAATTTACAATGAAATTGTAGCTCCAAAATAAAAGATTTCACATACAAATATTATTTGTGGTGAGATTGTTTGCAAAACTAATGAAGAAGATACAAAGTCTTGTTCGAGTGTTGATAATGCATCAACACTTGCTAATTTGAATATTGGGGAGAAATTTTTACAAATAGATCATAAAAATATTGAAGAAGAAGGATATCGGATTGAGTTCAGTAACAAAGAGAAAATAAAAAGAAGAGATAATACAGCTACTCCATGCAACAAAGAAATTGGTAGATGCTATGCTTGATGTTCCAAGATTGATAATTTAAGGGTCAATTGAATAAGAGATGGTGCAAAATCAAGAGAGCATGTAAGTTCTACATAAAATAAGTTTTTCTTGCTATGGAGCAATTTAATTTGATTTTCAATACTTGTCTAATTGATCTTGTCAACTAGTTGAAGTATACAGAGAAGAACTTTCAAAAAATAAACTTTTCTACATACAAATTTTGGAAGAGGGACAATCAACTGAAATATTCAAAATATCTCTTAGAATTTTTATATTTTTATTTTTAATATTTTTGATATATTAGTTTATTACAATTCTTGTAATTTAATATAAATATTTTAGAATATTTTATTTTCCTAATTTTGAAGGTTTTTTGTTTTCCAATAATTAAATTAGTTTATTATTTCCTAATATCAGTTTTCTTGGTGTCCAAGAATACTTGATCTCTAAGATTTACATTATTATAAATATCTATGTAAGCCTTATGGCAAAGATAACTTTCATTCAACTTTTATACAATATAATTCAGTTTCTTGAGAATTCTTTGTCTTCCTTGTGGATTCAAGATTTTATTTTTCTCGTGAATTCAAGAGCTTTTTTCATCTATTAGAGTGATATCTAATCCCCGTGTATTCTGCTGTGTCATCCTCTCAGGTAGTGCATCAACTTTATGCATTTTATTTTTTTTTGCAAATTTGAGAATGAAACACTGCAGCATGTGTTGATGTTTTGCCCCTTTCTTGGATTGTATGGACT